AGCTGCAGAAGCCCCATTGGACGTTCGGTTTCCAAAAGAACGTTCGAAAACCAGAACAGTCACTTCTGGGTTTCAATCATTCGGGAAACATTTGAGAACTAGGCTGTTCGAAAACCAAGGTATGACTGTATATATTTGGCAAAACTGGCTAATATAGTTACAGCTTTGCTACATTTGCACCATAGACTTGAAACACTATTATATCACTGTAAACACCTTGGCTTCCCCCTAAAGCATTCTAGGAACTTTAGTTTGGTTAAGGCTGCTGTTAGCTGTTAGGAGACTCCTGTTCCCTTCCTAGTGCTACAATTCCCAGAGTTTCCTAAGAAGAGTGATTTGTTGTTAATCCACTCTGGGCATTGTAACCCCTTGAAGGGAAATGGGAGTCTGCCAACAACTCTCAGCACCCTTAACAAATTACAGTTCCCATGATTCTTTGGGGGAAGTCATGACTGTTTAATGTGGTATGATACTGACTGCTTTAAATGTATGGTGTATATGGGGTCTAAAACGCTGGTGAAATGGTTCGGCTGTTTTCCTTGTCAACTGGGCTAGCCAGGCTGATATGCTAGCAAGCCTCAAGGACTCTTTCTCAAAGGAGGACCATTCATTCCACCACTCATGCTGGTGTGTTCCTTGCCTGCGTCTGTTTTCATCTGTAAGGTAATTCCCTGCTTCCCCCTTTAGAAGCAAGGATCTAATTGTGCAGCTAAAATCTAATCTTTGCCCTTTTCCTAAGCTGTCAGCTCGTCATTGCCAGATAGATGACTGAGAATATTGTTAGTAGCAAGGAGGGCATTAGATGAGGTCTGTGGGGGGCTTCCCCCTCCAGTTCCTTCAGATTTCTTAAAGCGGGAGAGAGAGGTGCATTACAATTCCCGATCTGAGCTGTGGAAGGTTTTAGGTGTCAATGATAAATGGATTTGAAATATGAAAGTGCGTTTTCTTTTTCTGTTCCCCTTGCAATAGCCATTGAACGATGCACCCACCTGGTGTCATTGTAAAACAACAATGCTACGCTCTGCAAATGTCACCTTCTGCTCCAAACTGTGGGTAGGCTTATATGTTAACTTCTCTTTAATGTTGGAAGCCAGCATCTGTTCAAGGTATGCATGAATGTGCCTTAAACTGGTTCAAAGAGTTGGTCCATCCGGTGGTGGCTATACTGTAATAAGGTATCTTGCTTCCCTGGTTGGAAGATGGAGAGATACAGGTGGGGACATGGCTGGAATGGAGCCCACTGTAGAAAGCTGTGAGAGTACCATTCATTAGTCCACCTACTTTTGCCTTTCACCCCACCCAATATTAGCATGTGGCCCTCAGAAAATTTACCACAAGGGACTGTGACACTTAGGCTGGAAAAAGGTCCCCCAACCCTCTTTTATATGGGATTCCTGAAGAGGACCTAAGAGGTCATATGATTTTTGTTGTTGTTGTTGTTGTTGTTTAGTTGTGTCTGACTCTTTGTGACCCCATGGACTAGAGCACGCCAGACACTCCTGTTTTCCACTGCCTCCCGCAGTTTCGTCAAATTCATGCTGGTAGTTTCGAGAACATTGTCCAGCCATCTCGTTCTCTGTCATTTCCTTCTCCTTGTGCCCTCAATCTTTCCCAACATCAGGGGCTTTTCCAGGGAGTCTTCTCTTCTCATGAAGTGGCCAAAGTATTGGAGCCTCAGCTTCAGGATCTGTCCTTCCAGTGAGCACTCAATCTTCTTGCAGTCCATGGGATTCTCAAGAGTCTCCTCCAGCACCATAATTCAAAAGCATCAATTCTTCAGCGATCAGCCTTCTTTATGGTTCATCTCTCACTTCCATACATCACTACTGAGAAAACCATATGGGTTTTTGTAGCCATCTATAAATATTTGAAGGCTTGTCCTATAGATGATGAGTCAAACTTAGTTTTCTGTCGCTGCAGAGTTGTGGGCCTCTTTAAAAAGTTTTCCCCAAAGAATTCTGGGAACTATAGTCTGCTAAGGATGCTGAGCAGTTTTTTTTCTAGAAAAGTAGGTGCTGGTACTCATCATGAAGTTTGTTACAGTAAGTGTCACACATTTTGAAAACAAAAAACAAAGGTGCCAGTACTGTGTACCCTTGAGTACGCTCTGGGGAAAAAGGGATTGATGCAGAGAGATTTGAGGTGATCCCTGTTCCCCATTCCCTGCGACGCGGGATTAACAAACAAAGCAAAACACAACCATCCTTTGAAATCTGGACTCCTCTGAATTGTGCGATGCAGTTCTCCAACAAAACAATGTTGCAACAATGTATATATTAGGGTAAACATCTTGGCCCCTCCCAAAGCACATTACTAAGAAATACGCATACAAAAGTGGGCTTATTTGGAGAAATTTGCATCAAAACCCTGATGAATTCTTAGGAGGATTTAAACAACAGCAACACACAAATTGCTGCAGAAATATGGAGAGGTGTATTTATGGCTGGGGGAAATGAGAAACCAAGAGAATCAAAATGGGCAGATCCTTTTATCCCTTATGTAACTGTGCCCATATATTGCCTTGCTGTTGGAGCGAAGTGACTCTTCACAGCTGTGGGTTTTCTCTCTCTCATTGCGCCCCCTCATTCTCATCAACACTTTTTTCCAGAGATGCCTGGCTGTGTGTTCAGGGCTCCCAGCATTTCCTCCAGGAGCCTGGCCGGGTGAACATTCGGAGCTGTTTGCCGAGTGTGTTTATTGCCTCTGCATAATTTATGAGCTGGAGGGTCTTTTCTGACCATCGTTCATCTCTGCCAGGCGCTGGCATGGCAGGCTCTGGAGGACTGAGCTGTAAATTGGATGGCCCGATCATGCTGAGAGAACCGGCAAAGTCCTTGGGTCAGTGTGGGAATTTACTGCCACAAATGGAACTTGTTTTCACACTGAGCCATGTGAGCTGTAGCCTGGTTGGACTTTCCCTGGCAAACCCCTATGGCTTGGCGAAGCCATGAAGCTGTCAGTCAACAGGCAAGACGAGAGGCTGGGTATTCTCTCCTCTTTTGCTCTCCTCCTTTTTTTTTTTAATCGGCTTGGCACCTGTACTGCTTCCATAATGGATATCAGTCGGTCTCGGTCTTTCACCATATGCTTAGCTCTAGAGACAAGGTGCTGCTGGGTATAGCGGTAATGATTTGATGGAGGAATTAAGTGGACCTTGAAATTAGAACTGGACTGTCAGAAGAGGCAGGGAAGTTTAATACATTGGCAATGGAAATGATGGTTCCCGGGGATTGCATTGCTGCTAGCGCACTCTCTGCAGCATCACCGCAGTGCAGGAAAACATTGTCCTGGAAAATTCAGATGGTGTTGATTAGTTTCACAGTGAGATGTAATGAGTTGTGGGATGGGCAGGTGGCAGAAGAGAGAGCGAGAGATGCTCTCTTTCCCCAAGTAAGCCTACTACGCTCAATGCACAAACACGTAAATGGGAATGAAATGATACACCAACATGATTCGACTGGTATAGCTCTTTGACAGACCCTAGCTCAGTAGCAGAATACGTGCTGTGCAAGCAGAAGTTTCCTGGTTCAATCCCTGGCATCTGCAGGCAGGGCTGGGGAAGTCTGAACCGCAGTCAGTGTAGACTAAGGGTGTGGGGAACGTGTGCTCCCTCCATGTTGTTGAACACCAGCCCCCACCAGCCACAGTCAGCATGGCCAATGGTCAGTGCTGGTGGAAGATGGAATCCAACAACATCTCGGTGGCTACAGGTTCCCTATCCCTGTTGTAAACAATATTTGTCTGGATGGATTACGAATTCAGTGTGGTATAAGACAGCTTCCTTTGTCCCTATGACTGCTGACTTTTGCATTGGGCCAAAGCTTATCTTTCACCTTAACATAAATACTAATGTATCCATCCATGATTCTGGTTGTAATCCTAAACACATTTCATGTGGAGTAAGCCTCATTCAGCACAGTGGGACGTGTGAGGATCACGCTGCATGTTGGTCTATCAGTATCGGGCCAGTAACCAGGAATTGTGTGGTGCAGAGCGCCTAAGAGACCAGTGAATCAACCAGAAAGCCACCAAATAATTAGACTTATATGTCATGTAATTGCACTATTCCAGGTAATGAAGCCTTCACTTTTAAAACAGGGCTGGGGGAACTGTCACTCTCCAGATGCAGTTGCATTCCAGCTCCCATCAGCCCCGGTCAACATGGTCAATAATCAGGGAAGATGTAAGTTGAAGTCCCAATAAGTTTGGATGGTCATAGTTAGCCACCCTTTAATGTGTGTGTGTGTGTGTGTGTGTGTGTGTGTGTTGGTCCTTTGCAGTGGTTGTTGTTACAGATGCAGTGGGCAGAGCAAGTTATCATTTAGCGGGTGCAAATTACTATTTGCAAGCAGTTGGGAAGCATGCAATCGCCACATTTCTCTTTATAGCTCCACAAGTACAAGGACTAGGCTTGCTTTAGGAAAGAGAGCGAGAGAGCTGAGCCATTGGAGATGGTCCTGGAATATCACTGCATGGTGGGCAGAGGTCAGGCCCTGTAGATGCAGCCCTGATGAGCGTTTGTTAATATATATTACATGAAAAGTTCATTTGAACCATTCTTGTTCCTTTCCCATGAATATGTGAAAGTTGTGAATGTATATTCTAGCCAACCTAGGTTACGTTTATGCAAAGATTGGAGTCTCCTTCATATGTTGCATTAGGAGGCTGGGAACAAAGAGGCAAAACACCATGTAAATACTCTTTACGTGCAAAGGAGATGATCTACTATTATAGCCTGCTTTCCTGAAGAACCCACATGGCTGGAGTCTCATACTTGCCGCAATATGGCAGCCACTTCCTAGAATTGTTATTTTCTAGCCCACTTTTCATGGTCTGTGCAATGCGTGGGCTCAGATACCATTTTTCAACCCTGTGGAAAAGCTTCATATGTATTTTCAGAACTCTCTAGTCCTTGGAATCAACACACAATTCTTTGTGCATTCTTCTTCTTATAAAAAAACCCCACAACCCTAATGTTTTCCTTTTTCTTTCTATTACAGTGTGACAGCGATAGTGATCAAGAAGAAAAGGTAAAGACAGACTTTCAATACATGCTCCTGATGCATTGTTTCTGATGTGTTTCAGGATCTGTTTCCACCTTCTCTCTAGCTAATGAGGAAGCACACTTTGATGTGGTCTACACATTATGGCTGCATTCAGATGTCCCTTCATCCTGCCTTCCCAATGTTTCCTTACTCATTTCCATGTTGATTATTTCCAGAAAACACAATATTTGGAACCCTGAAAACCCAGACAGTCCTTGGAATTTTGCTCTGTACTTTCCCCCATGGTTTCCAAAACCCCCATGGTTTCCACCACCACGACTCAGAGGGCAAAAAATTGGGGCGGTATCCTGGCATACGGTTCTTTCCTACTGTGGTGGCATAGTGTTCAGACAGCCACTAATGCAACAGGTACTGCAATGTAAAAGGAACATTAGAAATCAGGGCAGAAGCATTGGCATTAAAAGCAGGAAAACAAATGCAATCAATCTCTTGTCCCCAAATTATTATTATTGTCTGAATGCAGCCTATATTTGATGTGCTCGAGCCATCATGCCTTTTTAAAAAATGTTCCACGCAAGGATTATGTCCTGTGGTTGGTCAAGGCACAGAGGCAGATCATTCACTCGTCTACCATACCCTACTGGACCCTTAATCTTCTTCCTACAAGGGCCTCTGACAATTTTGGAGTCAGACATCCTTGCTTTTTTCCTGAGTCTGTACAGATTTCTCAACCATTATTTGAGAAAGATCCCTGTGTGCATCTTAGGAGGTGATAACAGAGCCTGACAAGTTCATTTTAAAAGGGAACTAGTTCTGTTTTAAGTTCAGCCTGTCCAAAAGGGAACTAATTCCAGGTCATGTTCATCCCTTTACAAAATAAACTAGTTCTTCACAGTTCAATCCAAGTTCATCAAAATGATCCTCAGAAAATTATTGCAGCATTTAGAATTCTGCCTGTTGCTGTTCTGAGGTATAAAATATACTTAAGATTCTTGGAAAACAGCAAGACACACACACACACACACGCACGAGTGGACAATAAATTGCTGAATTTATTTCCCCCCAACAATTATGATCTTTAAGCACAAATTCCCAAAGGGTTTGAAGAGGAAAAGGCACATGTAAGAGAGTGAACTTCAAGGTGAACTAGAAATTATTCAAGATTCTGCCCCCAAAATGAACTTCTTTTAGTTGACAGGACAGGAACTACTTTCAGGTGTAATTCAGAGATTTTTGAACTAATTCAGTTAACTTTGTTGAAACAAACCAGTTCATTCCAAGGCACTAAGTGAAAGTAGATTCAACATGCAGTTATGGACTAATGGCAAAATATTATGAGTTGGGGTTTTTTTTGGGGGGGGGAATCATTCAAGTTCAGATCCAAGTATCATAGCTGTTCTTGCAAAAGCTGTAACTTTTAATTTCTACAATGATTTGGAAGATGTCTGTCTGTCCGTCTGTCTTTAAATGATCATATCATAAGAGAAATTAAGATAATTTCCTAGTAGATGAATTTCATTTCATTTTACGTTCATGCCATCCTGACGTATATTTTTTGTTTTACCTAATCCTAAAATAACATCTAAGAAAAAAGTAGCTATAGTCAACTACTGAATGTGCTCCACAGTTCCAACTGTACTAATTTTCATTACTGTTGTTTGAAAGATTGACACCTGTCCTTTCAACAACATTTTGTAGCTAGTTATTGGTGTCTGAACAAAAGGACAGGAAGTCTTCCTACTAGCATATTTAATTTTTTAAAAATACATGGGAATATATTGCATCTTGAGATATATTGACTGCATGCAACAGGAATGATACACTGTGTGAGAACATTTCATAATCAGATGTCATTTGTGAAACCATTGGTCATCAGGGGCTGATCAATGACTACCTATGAACTATTTAGGTAGGTGAAATATGAGTACAACAATTACCTCCTTTACCTCTATTGGTTTTGGGGTAGTGTAAACAGTCATAAAGAATGGAAGATGTTCTCTCAAACCTGTTGCATTATTGAAATGTCAGTTAACAAGACACACATATGATAACTTCCATGGCAATATTTGTTGGTACAATGATTTCTTCAAAGAAAGCAACTGCATCTGATCAGCTTGGAATGGAAAGTGATGCATTTTTGTTAGGTTATCTATGGTTTGTATCCACAGTTCTTTACCAATAAATTCTTGTTATTCCACTTTTTACTCATCAGGATTCTGCTGTTGGTTGGTTGAACCTTTAAGTCACTCATGATCAAGTTATACCACAATGGCTTTTGTTCAATAACTGCTCCATACTGTTTGTTTTTGTGTCTGTTTTAAGGACCTTCCAGACTGCAACATTATTATAACCACCATGGTGATCTGGTCTTGCATGTAGACTATTATCCCAGCTGCAATAATTTAAGACAACTGGATTTGGGGAGGGAAGATAGTGGAGAAAAATACAAAGTATTATATAAATCTCCCACTTTTCACCATCTAGGTCTCGAAGGACCTTTCAGGAATTAAAAAATACAGTGGTACCTCGCAAGACGAACGCCTCGCAAGACGGAAAACCCGCTAGACGAAAGGGTTTTCCGTTTTGGAGGCGCTTCGCAAAACGAATTTCCCTATGGGCTTGCTTCGCAAGACGACAGCCCATAGGGAAATCTCCGGGACAGCGGGGAAGCGCAGCGCGTCTTCCCCGCTGTCCTCGGACCTCCTCCGAAGGCTGGCGGCGGGGCGCCGGGCTTCGGAACGATGCCCCAATGCCGGGCGGCGGGCGGGAACGCCTCCCCCCGCCGCCCGCCATCGGGACCATGCCCCGATGCCGGCCGGCGGGCGGGAACGCCTCCCCCCGCCGCCCGCCATCGGGACCATGCCTCGATGCCGGCCGGCGGGCGGGAACGCCTCCCCCCGCCGCCCGCCATTGGGACCATGCCCCGATGCTGGGGGCGGGCGGGAACGCCTCCCCCCGCCGCCCGCCATCGGGACCATGCCCCGATGCCGGGGGCGGGCGGGAACGCCTCCCCCCGCCGCCCGCCATCGGGACCATGCCCCGATGCCGGGGGGTGGACGGGAACGCCTCCCCCCGCCCCCGCCATCGGGACCATGCCCCGATGCCGGGCGGCGGGGACGGGGCGGGGCATGGTCACCGCCGCCGGCGTTTAAAAGCACTCTGGGGAAAGCAGCGAAGCGCGCTGCTTTCCCCGAGCATCGGGAAGTCCGGCGTGGGTCCTTGGGATTCCCTCCCAGCCCCCGCCTTTAAAAGCACTCCGGGGAAAGCAGCAAAGCGTGGCGCGTTTTGTTGCTTTCCCCGGAGTGCTTTTAAACGCGGGCGGCTGGGAGGGAATCCCTTGGACCCTCGCCGGACTTCAAAAGAGCTGCGGGAAGTCCGGGGGGGTCCAAGGGATTCCCTCACCGCCGCCCACCTTTAAAAGCACTCCGGGGAAAGCAGCAAAGCGCGGCGCGCTTTGTTGCTTTCCCCGGAGTGCTTTTAAACGCGGGCGGCTGGGGGGGGGAATCCCTTGGACCCTCGCCGGACTTCAAAAGAGCTGTGGGAAGTCCGGGGGGTCCAAGGGATTCCCTCCCCGCCGCCCATCTTTAAAAGCACTCCGGGGAAAGCAGCAAAGCGCGGCGCGCTTTGTTGCTTTCCCCGGAGTGCTTTTAAACGCGGGCGGCTGGGAGGGAATCCCTTGGACCCTCCCTGGACTTGAAAAGAGCTGCGGGAAGTCCGGGGGGGGGTCCAACGGATTCCCTCACCGCCGCCCACCTTTAGAAGCGCTCGGGGAAAGCAGCGCGCTTCGCTGCTTTCCCCAGAGTCCTTTTAAACGCAGGCGGCAGTGAGGGAATCCCTTGGACCCCCTCCGGACTTCCCGCAGCTCTTTTGAAGTCCGGTGGGGGGAGAAGGGCTTTTCTTCCTACCGCCAGCCTTCAGAACAGCCTTCTGAAGGCTGGCGGTGGGAAGAAAAGCCCTTGTCCCCCCCACCCAGCCTTCAGAAGAGGTCAGGGGACAGACTGTCCCCGGACCTGGTCTGAAGGCGGTTTCCCTAGGAACGCATTAATTGATTTTCAATGCATTCCTATGGGAAACCGTGCTTCGCAAGACGAAAAACTCGCAAGAAGAAAAAACTCGTGGAACGAATTAATTTCGTCTTGCGAGGCACCACTGTACAGTATTTTTGGCATCCGTCTTGTCTCAAGAAACAATGGATTGTGTGCCTGGGGGTGCAGTCAAGCTGTTGTGTTAGCACCGAAGTGACCTCCCCAGGGTGCAAGCCTGGGTAATGTGTATGAAGGTCCTGGACTACCCAGACGAAATAACCCCACTCTTGGTCTCATTGGTGTGGTCCAAAGCAAAGCAGAGCAATATGTTTGATAACCAGCATGGCTGCAGGTCTTGTTTAAAGAAGGCATTCAAGGTACCATCCAACCGTCTTAGGGACTCCACTATGGATTTGTGTAGGGTTGATATCCTGCAGGGCAGCAGAGGTTTAGGATAAGAGTTTTCCTTCTCCTGGATGGGCTCCCTTCCCATGTTGACAAGCCCCATCTGCCCCTCACTTCCCTCTACAGCACATGCAGAAACCACCTTCTTGACCGTTAGGCCCATTATTGGTGTCGACCACTCAGGCTGCCGGAGCCTGTCTTCACATGCACTGAGTTGCACTGGGCATGGAGCCTGGGGGGTGCTGCAGGGGGCACCACAACTATGATGTAGAATGGAAGGCGAGAGGTGGAGGTGTGCTGAATTTTAGTGTCACACAGGGCACAGCTAAAATTTGAGACCTCAAGGTCTGCCACTGACGTAGATCAGGAATCATATCAGAACATGAAGGTACAAGGCTTACTAGTTCTAAGCTATGACCTTGTCTCAGCTCCCGAGCTTGGCCTTTAGACTGACTTGCTATTTTAGACTGACTTCTGGTTTTACTTTTGTCCCCTGGTTCATTTGAGATTGCTGTCCCTGATGACAAGAACCTTTTCAGTTGTGGGTCTGTAGAATGCTCTCTCCAGTGAGTCCCACCTTGCACCTTCATTGAT